TCACCCTCCAATTAAAAGAATTTTTCCTCATCTCAGTTCTGAATGGCATCTCCCTTCTTACTAAATTGTTCTCTCTAGTTCTAGACTCCCCAACCAGGAGAAACATCTTACAGGTAGTTCTGCTGTAACACGTGTTTCATTAATGAGAATTGGCTGTAATGTGATTGATGAATAGTGGACACTGTTTGGATAATGTGAACTTTCTGCTCTGCAGGGAGAGCAATTTTCTATAGTGGTTTCCCTATGACACAAATTTCTATGGTGGTTTTCTGTAGCGCAAAGTCAAGCAAGAACGCGACTATCGCGTTTTTCGCAGAATTACCTGCACCTGCATCTACCATGTATATGCCTTTAAGTATTTTGGTCAGTTTCAATGAGATCACCTCTCATTCTTTGAAACTCGAGAGAACTTTGAAATTTGCATCACATTTGAAAGGGTGGTTTAAAAGGTGTTTAGCACACTTGCCTTCATTGCTCAGTCATTTAATCATAGGATATGGGAAGTCATGTTGAGGTTGTACAGGACATTGGTGAGGCCTCGTCTGGAGTACTGTGTCCAGTTCTGGTTGCCCTACCATAGGAAGGATATTATTAAGCTGGAGAGAGTTGAGAAGAGGTTTACCAGGATGTTGCCAGGTATTGAAGGTTTGAGTTATAAAGAAAGGCTTAATAGGCTGGGACATGTTTCACTGGAGCATAGTAGGTTGTGAGTGATCTTATACAGTTTTATATAATCATGAGGGGTATAGATAGGGTTAATGGTAGGCGTCCTTTCTTTAGGATGGAGGATTTCAAGACTCATGGGGATATTTTTAAGGTGAGATGAGAGAGATTTTAAAAAAGACATGAAGGGCAAATCTTTTACAGAGAGTGTGGATTGCATGTGGAATGAACTTCCGGAGGAAGTGATGAATGCGGGTACATTTACAATGTTTAAAAGACACTTAGACAAGTACATGGATAGGAAAGGTTTGGAGGGAAAAGGGCCAGGAGCAGGCTGGTGGGACTAGTTTAGTTTGGTGTTATGTTCAGCATGGACTGGTGCTGTTTGACTCTTATAACATAGGCTCAGTTTATGTAATGTCTCTTCATACAACAATCCCACCATCTTGGCAACAAGCCTGGAGAGCTGTCATTGCACTTACTCTAAGCCAATAATACCTTTGATGAGATAAGGAGGCTAGAACTGCACAAAGTACTCCAAGCAATACTTCATTACTGCTGTATACAAATCTCCTTGTAGTAAACGCAAACATTTTATTCGCCTACTTCATAGCTTGCTGTACCTGCATTTAGTCTTCAGTGGCTTAAAGACCAGAAGGACAAAGTCAATAAACACTAACAAGAAGTTCCCCTTCAAGGCGTGCACCATACTGACTTCAAACTACATCACTGTTTCTGCACTGTCAATCGGGTCGAAACCCTGCAATTCCCTTCCTAACAGGACTGTAGGCATTGCAAACCACATGGCTGCTTTCCTAGAAAGCTTATTACTGCCTTAAGTGCAATTAGGAATGGGGAATAAATACTGGTCTATTGCTGGATATGCTTACATCCCATGAAAGAATAAAGTAAAAAAGATTGGACCCCGTGGGTATCTCTTTTAGTCTGCAAATTGTTTTTCTACAAATGAATAATATCGAGTCTCTGGAATATGTCATTTGAGTGATGCAATATCCCAGTGATTCCTGGTCCTGTATATGTTATGTATATTTGCGGGCTTAAAACCAAATATTGTACTTTTTAATACTTCAATATTTGCATACATTTCGGATGTTCTTCAGAGCTAGTAAACTTCGAAGACAACTACATTAAATGACAATTGAAATATAAGTGTAATTTTTTTTCACTGTTGCATCAGACAGAGAAACACTCGCCTTCAGTTTACGATATAGAGCGACTCCTCGCGAGGCTCGAACTGATGATGAGGTGTTGCATCATGCGGCATGTACTGGCGAGATGAATGGTTGAACATGACGCTTTTCGGAAAAGGAGGACTGATTTGACTGATTTCGGCTCTTAAAGGCGAGAATCAAGTGAGATCGTGTTTAGTTATAAAAGGGCAGCGGCAGCAGCTTTGCAGACAAAAACAACGCCAGTACAAAAGGACTTAGTTACATTCACAGCATTTCCTAAAGAGCAGTGGGACTGCGCGCTCTGTTCACATGTCTAACCTGAAGAAGAGAGGCTCGGGCACCGGCTCGGTGAGGGATCAAGGGGAAACAGATGGTCAGGTGAAGGAGAGCATGTTAACGGCGCATGTGAATGGGGAACCGGGGCTGTCCCCGGACCGGGACAGCTTACCGACCGCCCTGGAGCAGCCGGCGGACTCGGGCATGGTCCTGAAGCGAACCATCACGCTGCGGAGTGGTGTGGCCATCATCGTGGGGACCATTATCGGCTCGGGTATTTTCATCACGCCGACCGGGGTGGTGAGGGAGGCGGGCTCGGTGGGCTTCTCCCTCATCATCTGGGCAATGTGCGGCGTCTTCTCCACGGTCGGGGCTCTCTGCTACGCCGAGCTGGGCACCACCATTACCAAGTCGGGAGGCGACTACGCCTACATCCTCGAGGTGTACGGCTCGGTCACGGCTTTCCTCAAACTCTGGATCGAGCTGCTCATCATCAGACCTAGTTCGCAGTACATCATAGCGCTGGTCTTCGCCACTTATATCATCAAGCCCGCCTTCCCCGACTGTGCGGTTCCCGAGGACGGAGCCAAGTTAGTGGCTTGTCTCTGCATCTGTGAGTATACAGGCAACCGCTCACATTGAGCCTACACTCAGCACCGCCACGTTACAACTCAGCAATTGGGGGGCAAACATGCTTTTTCAAATGTCTCAATGTTTTCTTAGCAATGGCTTGCAAATTTTAAGTTGACACAAAAAATAGTAACGGACGTTTTGACGTGCAATTTTGATCAATTTTCTTAAAATAGCACAGTAAACATATTAATGTGTTATGGATTATTTGTAGTTACAACATTATAAATACAGTTGTCTAATGCACGATATTGGGGGCTTTTTAAACTAAACCTCCCCTCTACAAAATAGGCCCAATGTTTAAGTTGATTTCTTTGTAGTCTGTTTCTAATTGTGCGTGTATCAGACTGCTGCGCCCAACCACGTGCTTTGCGATACCACCTTGTTTCTCCTGCAATTCAAACATGTGACCATGCTTCCGTATTTGTTCCTTCTTTTTGCAACGAAATTTTCAAATTAATTTTGCTGGCTTGTTTTCGAGGTCAGTGTATGACTTTCTAATGAACGGTTACTGCTTGCCATTGCGAGTTGTGAGAGTGCAAACAGGACTACACCCGTCCTTCTAATGTGTTCTCCCCAGCTCCAAGATAGATTATCAGTATGAAACCAGATTTTTGTCATACTTCCGTTGCTCACGGGTTGCCAGTATACTCGAGACCTCCTAGGACTAATGGGCAATGTAAGATATAACAGTAATTGATGCATAACATGCTAATATTTTATTTTAAAATCCCTATAAATGTCATATTAATTGATTTTTGATAATGTTCAAAAATATTATTAGGTTATAGCCACTAATGTGGGGCAAGGATTCAGACTAGGTGTAAATTACAATCTGAGATTATTCAAAATTTTTTTTAAAAATGTGGTCTCAGTCTTGCAATGAGCTATCATTATGTAAATTGTGCCCATGAGCTTACTTGATCAGCAGTTGCTTCTTTAGTTATTTATAGTTTCATAGTCACCAGAATGCACTGGAACCTGTCCAATTGTCTGAGTTTTTAAGCAATTAAATTTGGTGGAATATTAAGGTGAGTCCTAGTGGGAAAAATCACAAACATTCTGCCACAGAAGATCTACATTCTACTTGTGCTAGTGCTATTGTAGAGGCTTTTTAATTCCAAATAGTATACCAAAGAAATAACAAAACTAATATATCTTATTTCTTCAGTAAAGTTGCCATATAAGCAACTCCCAGCTCAAAAGAAACAATCAGGAATTTTTCTGTATTGTTTTTCATTGCAAGTCCTGTCCTTGAGCTTAGTTATGCAGAAATTGTTACAATGCTTCAATCAAACATCTGTGCAGCTCCTGTAAAAGTTTTAGACAAGAATGCTTCAATCCAATTTACATCCTTGGTTTTATGTGGTAGGAGTTGACAACCATCTAACAGTTGAACTTTTGTTCTAACCTGTTTCTCTTTATTCTGTTAGCAGAATTCCATTAACTTCTCTATATTTATCAAGTATTTTTGGTACTTCAATTTAGTTTATTTTGTTATCTACTAATGCATCATCTGCCCACCTAAATTGCAGAAGCTAGATTGCTGTAATCTCTGAGCTGTTGAGTTGCCCAATATCCCCATTTCTGAAGAAGGGTCTAGACCTGAAACATCAGCTTTCCTGCTCCTCTGATGCTGCTTGGCCTGCTGTGTTCATCCAGCTCTACACCTTGTTATCTCACTTGGTGAATTGCCTCAGTGGGGAGGAGTACTAAATAACTACTTCTCATGACACGCTGCATGTTTGAAAACAACAGGGAGAAGTAAAACGATCAGTATGTTTCAATACTTTACAAGAGGAAGAACCTGGACTTAAGTTGTGCCTTCACAGTGAAAATGTTTGAAAAGATTTTACAGTTAACTGCATTCTTCTGAAATGTAATTGTAATGGAAGAAAACATTTTGCACATAACAAGATCCCACAAAATCAGTGAGACAAATAATCAGATCATCTGTTTAATTTATATTGATCAAGAAATTGAAGTTGATTTGTACGCAGTAAAAAGTCTGAAGTGCCACAGGAAATCTGACGTCCGCCTGAGAATGAAGATGGCCCTCGGTTTAATATCTCATCAAAAAATGGGATAGGGTTACCCTTCTAAGACAGTTTTAGAGCATAAGAATGTAATACTTTTATTTCTGACACTGCAGCATTTGTTCCTATGGAGTCAGAGGTAGGTGTCCTGTCAATCAGCAACCCTGCACTCCCACCACTTCCCTGCTATCTGTTTGAGGTTGAATAATTACATATATAGGACTCTTGTGGAAAAAGTGCGGATGATTTAGTCACTTAACTCTCAAATTCTTGACTATAATGAAATTTGGTACAAATTGCAATGTGGCCATAATGGCTGTGCTGTGTCAAGTCAGTGGAATGGCCTTTGACCCAAATCTCAAGCCCTTCAAACACAACTCTACTCCTTCACGTATGTTGGTAATAAATAGCTGAATACATGTAGTCTGCAGTCTACAATGATTTTAATTCTAAATTGTAGCAGGCAATGGCAAATTCCAAATCAGTTTGCATTGCCAGATCTGAGTGAACTTCTTGAGCTTTGCTTCAAAGTTTCGATTCAATATCACCACACGGGTGACAAATAAAAGCTTGAGTTTTTAAAGATATAGCTGCATTCAAATAAGGACTAAATGTCTGGGAACATGTTTCTTCTGTTTCTTTTTAACTAATTTTTTTTGTCTCCTTTACTGAAGACATCAACTCCTTGCTGATTACCATTCATGGATACCAGTAGCCTCCTCGACTAGACATTTGAATTGTGTGAGATGAAGTAGTTCATGAACATTGGCAACATCACAATTGGAGACACCATTTTCTTGGCCCATCATTCACATGCACATACTTTTCAGCCAACTCATTTTCATGTGGTCATGGGTAACAGTGGGCTGTTTTTCTGTCCTCCTTACCCCAAGGCATCTATGATGAAAGATTTATTATGATGCTTTCACCCATGACTGATACTGAACTCCTGTCTGCAGTCTGGCAACAAAGAATTAAAATTCTAATGCAGTATCTTTCATAAAATACTGCATCTAATCATAATTTGTGTGTTGTATAATATCATACCTGTTTGATGCAAATAAATCTTAATCATGAGGAAAGTGAAGCTGTAACACCTTACAACAGATTACTGTTAATAGATGTTATCCAATGATTTGGACTTGGTCAGCCTCGTGAATGACTGCATTATTTCTAAGGAATTTAACAAGGAAAGCATTTGTGTTTCTGTTAATGGAATGATACTGACATTTCTTATCGTGTAACATAGAGGAAACATGGTTTCAAAAAGCTGTATCTTGTGTGCCAGAAGTTATTGAAAAATATATTAGAAATTGATGTACTTCTATAAGAAGGAAATTTCTCCAGGAAACATAAGTTGTAGTGAGCTTATAATGTTTACAAAAACAAATGGAGAAAACTTTGCTAGCTTATTTCAAATAATCCCTTCTAAGGAGTATGTACAATATTTTATAGATTTACTAGGAGAAATATATGGGTAAGATTTTGATCCATTCATAAACCACCCATATGCACAGGTTTAAAATTGGGTCCACAATTTTAATTTACATTTTACCATATAATTTTCATAATTTTTCTTCCTCTATGAAAGAAGATTAAAGGATACATTTGTGGTATCTTAACTGAACTACAGCTGCCACTACTGGCTATAATAGATGCATTTTGAAGATCAGGGAACCAAAATATGCAGAAGTACTGCAAGGAAATAAATGTTTCCATAATAATGGGTATTATAGCTTTGTTCTATACTTCCAGACTTGCTTATTAGGAATTAAGTGGTCTTAGCAAAAGATTGTGAATTCAGTCTCTATTAGGTGTGGTAAGCTAGACTTGTCTGATGCAAGCATAACCCTATCTTAAACACCAAACTATAATGATTCAAATTTCAGAATAATCAGCAAGGTGGAGCTGAGGTTCACAAATTCAATAAATATAAAGAGTATCTTGTATTAATCATAAAAATATGCAGTCTACTGAAACTGTATTTCACCAATCTGGATTTCTTCAATTTATTTTGAATTCTGTCCATTATGGTAAACAGAAGGCCAATTAGGATGACCTGTTTCTTTCTGAAAATTATTTTTATGGACTGTATGGCCTGTGCCTTTGTTCTTGCTGCAGAAATGGTTATATTCTTATGGCTAAAGAGAGTGTAAGAGCATGAAAGAGTGCTTTTTTACTGTGATGTCACTATAAGTGTAAGGAATAATTCTTGGCACTTTAGAATTCTGAGTATAATTTTTAAAAATATTTCTTCCTGGGATATGGACATCAGAGACAAAGTCAGCATTTTTAAACTTTTTATTTTTCATAGCACTTGGTCACATTAATTCATTCCATTACATCAAAATTTTTTGTAGAATGAAGTGTTCCATACTTATACGTTTTGAATCCAGTATGTAAAGCTTGTTGCCATTTTTTCAGGGAATTCTTGAAATTGGAATGCCATAATTGAATATAATTATTGAATTGTAATAGTTTGGAACAGCTTTAGAAATTAATTAGGTTTCTACATACTTGTACTCTCTAATGTGAGGTGTAGTTTTTATTTTATAAAAAATAGGTGGCACGGTGGCTCAGTGATTAGTACTGCTGCCTTACAGAGCCAGGGACTCGGGTTCGATTCCAACCTCTGGCAACTGTGTGGAGTTTGCACATTCTCCCCATGTCTGCGTTGGTTTCCTCCGGGTGCTCCGGTTTCCTCCCACAGTCCAAAGATGTGCAGGCTAGGTGGATTGGCTATGCTAAATATACCATAGTGCCCAGGGATGTTTAGGTTATGTGGGTTAGAATGGGGAAATACAGGGGTAGGGGAATGGCTCTGGGTGGGATGCTCTTCAGGGGGGTGCTGTGTACTTGTTGGGCCGAATGGCCTGTCCCCATACTGTAGGGATTCTATGATTCTGTGAATAGACAAGCCATCATATCTGAAATTTTAGTTGCATTGCCTTAAGAAAGGAGTGGTACTTTAAATTGTGTATGTTGTATAACCTAATTTGTATCCATTATTTTTATTCTTGGCATGTTGTTTCTTAGCTATTTTTCTACAACACTATCAGATTGACTACTTTATAGATATTAAATCTTACCTTGCAGCAAACCAGCTTAATTCATGGGGACCAACTAGCATTCATTTAGGGCTTTACATTTGGGTTGCTTGTTTTATAACTACTTTTTGCTAATGCTCAATACTGTTTTATGAAAGTTAACAGTGTCACTGGGGCAGAGGTTTTTTTTTTGCTCACAGGATGAGGATGTCGCTCACTAGGCAGCATTTATTGCTCATCCCTAAATGCCCAGAGGGCAGTTAGGAGTCAACCACATTGCTGTGGATCTGGAGTCACATGTAGGCTAGACCAGGTAAGGATGGCAGTTTCCTTCCCTGAAGGACATTAGTGAACCAGATGGGTTTTTCCAACAATCGACAATGGATTCAGGGTCATCATTAGACTCTTAATTATAGATATTTTTATTGAATTCAAATTCCACCATCTACCATGGCGGGATCCAAACCCAGGTCCCCAGAACATTACCTGGGTCTCTGGATTAACATTATGTCCAGCGATAATACCACTAAGCCATCGTCTCCCCTCGTAATGCATATGACAGACCAGCCAATCTTCTGTGGTGCTACACATGGGAAATCAAGAGCACGAGCTTGTGTTTTCGAATAAACCTCTTGGGCTATAACCCGGTGACATGTGATTTCTGACCTGTCCACCCAATCTGACACCTCCCCATCATAATTTTACAATGGAACTCCCAGTGTAAGCTGATCATGCTCTGCGTACCCTGTTTTTGCATAAGGCTCTATACTGCCATTAGTGTCACTGCATAACTTCAGAATGATAGCATTGTTTATGTTCACGCTGAAATGTAATCAAAACACAAAAGTCAGGATTAAGAAATTGGAACTGAAATGCTATTTGCAAGTTTTGATTGAATAATGTATCGCAATCCAGCTTTTCTTCACCTAAAGATTGCATTTGCCTTGACTCCTGTATGCAATGCCACAAGAGAGCTTTGAACCAAGTTTTATTGCATCATATTGTTTTGTTTTGAAGCCAACAGAATAATTTGACATATTTCGAATCTGGAATTAAGAGTCTCCTGATGACCTGTAATCCATGTCAATTGTCAAAAACTCCTCTGGTTCACTACTGTTATTTAGGGAAGGAAACTATATCACTACCTGGTCTAGCCTACATGTGACTCCAGACCCACAACAATGTGGTTGACTCTTAACTGCCCTCTGGGATGGGCAGTAAATGCTGGCCCAGCCAGCAACACTGTCATCCTGTGAACGGATTAAAAAGGACTTATTTTTATAGAACTTCCAGAATTTGATTTGCAATAGCCTCAGGAAATTCAGCTGTATTTTCAGAAAGTCTGGCAGTTTGGACACACCAACTTTTTGGGAGAAATAGAAACAGAAACTCCTGGAAGAACTCCATAGCTACCAGAGCTGCTGAATTTCTCAAGCTGTTTCCATTTTATTTCCGATCTCTAGCATTCGCAGTATCTTGCTTTTGTTCCACCGTTGTAAGTTCTTCTTCTCATTTAAATGGTGGAGCAGATTCCATGGGGTATGACCTATATCTGCTCCTGCCTTTTCATGCAAGAAATGAGCTTAGTAAATCCTTTTTGAACTGCTTTTATTGCAGTTGTATATATTTTTTCAGATAAGAAGGCCATAATTGCACACCGTCTCAGCAAAATCCTGTGCCAGCTGCATTGAAAGTTTCCAGTTTTTATACTTCATTTCCCTTTCAATAAATGTCACCATTTCACTTGCAGCACCTGCATACCTTTTATGGTTCATGTACTAGCACACCCAGTGTCGGCTTCTACAAACATTTTTTCTATTTAAATAGTGCTTAGACTTTCCTGGAGTTCAGTGCAAGCTCGAAGAACCGTACCTCATTTCTTGATTAGGCCATTCAAAGCCTTCTGGACTAGATGCTGCGTGTCTATTCACTGAGTGACGCTATTGCTCAATTTTGTTTTCATTTTTGAATGGCAGCTCTTGATGTTGATTCTGCTTTTCCATTTTAACCTGAATACTATTATCTCTCTCTTTTCCCTTTGCTCTATATTCGGTTTTGTCATTTAATTTCTCATCTATCCCACCTTGTCACAGATACTCACTCACTTTTTTAACCTCCACGTTTCTGTGCTTTGCTTAAATCTGTTATGTCTCCCAATTCTGGTGAAGCATCATTAACTGAAACTATAATTCTGTTCCTCGCTCTAGAGATGCTGTAAGACCTGTAAGGTATTTTCATGGTGTTCTGTTTCTCAGATTTTCAGCATTTTCACTCCATTTGCGTTTTATTTAATTTGGCATAAATTTTACACTATTTATGTCTACCTATTTGAAGTCATAATGCTGCATATGCATGACCAAGAATCTGTAAGTTTAGTCACTTTTAAATAGGAGTTACTGGAAAATTTTAGTAGGTTTGGCAGCATTTGTGAAGAGAAATCAGGTTATCTAAATCAGACCAGCTAAGTTTTTTTTTGTTTCTGATTTCCAGCATCAGCAGTTCGTTCTTTTTTTTTTTTTTTTGTAATTATTTTAATGAATTTACTTTGCATTATCTAAGTCCCTAAGCTAGTTCACTTGAAACCAAATTCAGATTGTACTGCTGGTCCATCTGGAGGGATTTAAGATTCTGTTGTGTTATAATTACTTGAGGTTAATGTCTTCTCTAAAGAGATAAACTGTTGCCTTGAGTACCAATCAAACTTCGAACTTCCATAAGCAACACAAAAGATTTTCTCTTACAGAGATTGGGGATCAGGTGGGGTGACATCTGGTGCCTTCTTGTTAGAATGATTGCATTGGTAACACGTAGTATATGATAACTTTCATGATATAATGCTATCAATAGTAAAAGAAGAGCTCGCAAATAAATCAATGGATGTATTCATTTAGTCAGTCGCATTTGAGAAGTTGGTTGAAATGTGTTTTCCTCATCCCCTTCCCTCATAGCTTCTTGTCCTTCTACAGCAGAACTCATTGGAGTTGTTTTTAGTTATGAAATAGTTATAGGACAGAAAGAAGTCACATCTGTGTCTGCTGTTTGCAAGAACAGTTCAGCCATTCACTCCCCTTTCCTAACTTTGTAGATTTATTTTTCTTAGGTAATTATCTAATAACCTTTTGAAAGCCACAATTCAACTGGACCATCCTTTCAGACAGTGTATTACAGATCCTAACCACATGCCATGTAATAAAATTTGTTCCTCATGTTGGCCTTAGATTTTGAGGTTGGTTGGCTCGCCGAGCTGTTTTGTTGTTCCACAGACGTTTCGTTACCGTGCTGGGTAACGTCCTCAGTGCAGCACGGTAACAAAACGTCTGCGGAACAACAAAACAGCTCAGCGAGCCAACCAACCTCAACACCCACAACCCAAGCTACAGATCTACTCCAAAACCTTAGAGGCCTTAGATTTTTTGCCAAAAACCTTAAATCTCTGCCCTTTAGTTCTCAACCACTCCACCAGTTTCAGTCTACTTTGTCTAGATCCTTCTTGATTTTCAATGTCTTGATCTCCTTAGACTAGAGGAAATTCAAAGGAAAACAATTTGAAGGAGTAGCCCCTTTTAAAACAATTGAGTCAGTGTCCTGGAGAACTGAACCAGGCCTTCTAAGCATCCTTGTCTCAGTAATTGCCTGCCTGCCCCCATGGCTGCCTCCAATCTGCTTCTAGGTTGGCAGGTACATTTTGATCCTGTCTCCACCTCCCCAGATAAAACCTGGACATGATGGGGCTTGTTATTATTGTCGTGGGTCTGCCAAGTTGCTGAATTTCCTGACATGAGCTGTCTTTCTCAGTAGTGAAAAGTCTGGCCCTAAAACCTTGTAGAATGTACCAACTAGTTTCACATTACCAAATGTATGTGTTCTTTCAGTCTTCAAAGCATTAATGCCAGTGTGCTGGTTGGTTGGTGAATGTGTATCTTGTTGTGTATCTGGGTATTCAGATAAAAGAAATTGGAAGAAATAAATCACTGACTGCCTTTTCCTCTTCCTTTCAGTGTTTTTGACAGCAGTTAACTGTTACAGTGTGAAGGCAGCTACAAGAGTACAAGATGCTTTTGCTGCAGCTAAGTTGTTAGCTCTAACTGTTATCATCATTTTGGGCTTTGTGCAGATTTTTAAAGGTAGGTGTGGAACATATTTTAATTATCCAATCAGCTTGTTGCTGTTACATCTTTCTGAGACTACATTGTGTCAGACAGGAATTGTAAGATTTCAAGTTAAAATGCACAGCATCTTTACTGAACAAATTATTTTGAAAAATACATTTCAATAAAGTTATTTACTCATAATCATAAACGTCAAGAGCATGGAAGCAGGTCCTTCAGCCTAACATGTTTCTTTTCCTTGCTGTATTAGATGGGGGGGTCTGACTTCAAATGTTTGAAAAGGTGCTCTAATTTTTCCCCAGCTTCTCTCCTATCTCACTCGTGCCCTCTCCAAGTTCATCTTATTCATGAGACCAACCTCCTGTTCCCATGGTCACTTAACTACCCTTCCTGGCCCCATATTAAATTATATTGTCAATAATTCATTGCCTTCAGGCATTATCCTTTCCTTATAAAACTATTGATAACATTGCTGTTCTCAAAAATCCAACTCTTGACCCCTGTTGTATGTCCTTATACATACAATCCCACTTCCAACCTCCTTTTCCTCCCCAGTGTCATTAAACAAGTTGTCGGCTCCCAAGTCCATGTCCACTTTTCCTAAATTCTGTTGCTGAATCGTTCCAGTAAGGTTTCTGCTCTGGCTGCTGTGCCAAAACTGCTCCTGTTATGATCTTAAATAGATATTCTGTGTGACCGTGACAAAGCAAACTATCCCTCCTGATCCTTTCTAACCTATCTGCAGCCTTTGATTAGCCCCAGCATCCTTCCCCAGCGCCTCTTCACTACTGTCCACCTGGCTGGGACTGTTCTTTCCTAGTTCCACTCTCTTTTTTTTTCTATCTAATTATCGTCAAAGTATCATTTGCAGTGCTTCTCATCTGGCTTCTGCATCTCTGGTATTCCCCCTAAGGAGTCATTTTTGGTCTCCTACGAGGTTTCATTTTTATGCTGCCCTTTAGCAATATTGTTTGAGAGGACAGCATTAGATTTCACATGTATATTGGTGACTACAGTTTTACCTCCTCATCACTTCTGTTTCGTTGTTGCTAAATTATCAGACTGCCTAGCCAATCACCAGTGCTGAATAAACAAAAATTTCCTCTAAGTATTGAAAGGACTGAAGTCACTTTTTTTCTGTCTCCGATCCAAACATTGCCATTCAAACTCTTTCCTTGAAATAATCAAATTAAATCATACAAACTATTCATAATCTTTTTTGTGTCATCAGTAAGTCTGTGCACTTCGATTCCTGTAATATGGCATGACTTCATTCTTGTCTCAGCTCATCTGCTGCTGGAACCTTCATTCATGCCTTTTGTCTCCTCTATACCTGCTGTTCCAAAGTATTTCTGGCTAGTTTCCCGAGTTTTTTATCCTCTGAAAACTTTAGGTCTATCAAACTCTGCGTCTCTGTCGTAATTTGCACCAAATCCTCTTGAGCTTACTGACCCTCCTGACCTGCGTTGGTGCTTGGTCAAGCAACATCTTAATTTTAAAACTTTAATACATGGTTTTGATTTCCCCCCCCTGCCAACACACACACACCCCCACCCCATGCTATTGACCATGCCTATCTCTGTGATCTCCAGCTCCACAACCCTTTAATTTTGGTTTTGATTTTTCGTTTAATTACTTCCCTTTTGTGGCTAGGATTTCAGTTGCTTGGGCAGCAAACTCTAGAGTTGCCTATCTATTGTCTCTCCACCTTTCTAGCTTGCTTTCCTCCCTTTTAGGGAGTCCTTAAAACCTAGCTGTTTGGGCCATTGGCCTTAATAGCTCTCATTTGGCTTTGTGCTATATTTTAAAAATTATAATGTTCCTGTGAAGTGCCTTAGAATGTTCTATTATGTTAAAGACACTTTATCAATATAAGTTACTGCATGCTGTTTCCTTGTATGTTAATTCCAACATCCTGAACAAAATGTTATAGTTGAGGGGGCTGAGTTTTAATATTTCATTGATTTATATTTGCACTTGTCAATAAAAACAGACTTCCACTCCAATTTGAAAGCCCTAGATATTTTATAAAGCTGACTTTGCAAAGAACCTTTGTGTAATACAAATCCAGGCAGTGTCAGTATGTTATTTTGGATAATGTTTTGTATCCCTTTGAAGTTACCGCATTACTGAAGTACTGTTTTGCAGGATTCCAGAGTTTTACATCTTTCATTCTGTAGCACTGTGATGTTGTGCAGCACCAACAAAAGATGAATGATTTCAATAAAATATGCAATTAGTGGCATTGTGTGCCAGTGAGAGTTCTGGAGGGGCATTGGGAAAAATAAAATTGTGGTTATGGCTGTTAAATCATCCCAGTTGCATTCATCTGCTCATCACAGAAGTTATCTGCCCAGTTACTGCCCTTCACACATGAATCAAGGAAGTTTTGGCAAGAATACTGGTTTAAAAAAAAAGTGAATTTCAATGTTCAGCACTTTGTTTTCAAACAGCATTTTAGTGCTTTCAAGTTCAAAGTATTAAATTATTTCAGTTTACTTTACAGCGAGTCATCTATTGTCTACTGATACCATCTAATGTAAAGTAGCAATAGCAAATGACACCAGATGTTAGCTGACTTGGAGTGTGGAACCATCATTTTGGGTACAATGGTCAAACAGAAGGTTGCCAGTTTTCATTGGGGTCCCGAAAAGTTGGATGTAACAGAGGAAGGGCAGAGAGCCAAGCTTAAAGAAAAAGAAACTTTTTCAAAAAAAAATGTAGGACCTAAGGTTGTAATGTGAGTATTGTAGAAAATGGCTGACAATATGGAAGACAATGGACAGCTGATATTGTGATGAGAAGAATGGATCCCTGCATTTCTGTCTGTGCTTTTCCATGAGATAAATTGAATTAGAATTATTAGGATAATGCTTTGTGGTGTTGGAGTGGTAGAAAGTGGCTGTATACATTCTTGTAAAGCTGAAGCAAGTTATTATCCTGAAGAAATTAATTGTAACATTGGATTAATAAATCTTACAATTGCATGGAATATCTAATAATTTAAGGTGAGTGAATTGTTTATTCTAAGGGGATTTTCTTTAATCAAACTGATAGTCATGGTCTTCAGCAGCACTTTTCAAACCCATCACCTCTACCACCGAGGATGACAAGGGCAGTATGGGACTACCACTACCTACAAGATGCCCTCCAAGTCACGCTCCATCCTAACTTGGAATGATATCATTGTTCCTTCACTGTTTCTGCGTCAAAAACCTGGAAATCCCTGTCAGCACTCTGCATATACCTACCCTCTGTACACTTCAGTTTAAGAAAGCAGCTTACCATAATAAGGCATTTAGGGGTGTGCAACAGGTGCTGGCTCAGCATTAGTGTGAACAAAATAAAATGCAGTTTAAATACACAGTCAGGTGATGCAGAGATGCAGCATCAGAACATTATTAACCCCAGGCATGGGTGAAAACGCTTGAGATACAATCAAACTTATTATTTGCATACACATTACCTGAAGAGCAGTCTGGTATATTTTTCAAGAGATTTACTCAACTTAGCTAATGTTATCAACTTTCCACAAGTGCTGACATCTTGGACTACTAATATATTTGCATTAATTAATTATTTTATGAGGACAGAGCTTGTTTGTGATATCATTCTTTTGATATAAAGTAGAAATAGCTTAATGCTGAGACTTTTGCTGTTGTGCACAATTCTAGGGTTGTTGGAGCAGATTTTGCAAACTTGTCTTTAGTCTGTTTTAGATCTGCTGGGGTCATATATCGGAAGAAAGTTAATATGACACATACAGACTATTCTTAATACAAAAACTAAATCCTACTTTAGCTGGAGTTTTTTCTTTCAAGTTTTCCACTTTCCTTCTCATGAAAATTGATTCATATTGGGCATGATTTCACATATGCCTTTGTAACTCTGAACCAAAATGGCTAATCTCTGAATAAGTCTAGAACAGCAGAATCTAAACTTTGGGTTCTTTCCATAAAGTATTGTGTATGTGGACTAGTGAATTCCAAAATTAGAATTGTTATCAGCTGGAAAAATACACTTTGGCTCCCATCTAGCCTTAGGGGTGAAGAAATTTGGCTAATTTATGCTTTTACATCTGAGATTTGTTTCATCTTTGAATTTGATACGTGTGGAGGTTTGAAAAGGAATGTTTCCAGCCCATACTAATTCATAGATTTGTTCCTAACTGCAGGTTCAGATGTCTGCAATTTATGGAAACATTTGAGGACAACTTTTAACGTATGTCCAAATGAGCACAAAGTTCTACAACCTTTCCTAATCCTGTCTGAGCAGTTTACCATGAGGCCTGAACCATTTTCAGGTTCAAGTTTCATTAATAAATAGCTGAAGAGCCACAAAGTGCTTCATGAGGGCCAGTGGCATCTCATCAAACCAGGAAATTGAAATATGTTGGTTCCTGAGTGAAACCAGTGTGAAATAACGAAACAGAGGCCGATTATCCTATTCTCGTCACCAAGTCACCCGTTATTTACTAGTGCACAGCACACTAGCTCTAGCCAACCAGCTCAGAGTTAGTTGCCTGAACTGAGGAGATTCTAATCTCCTGGTTATGTTGGTCAGCCAGGGCTTTCCTGGTTGGCCCAGGTTATTAACACCAATCAATGACCTCGTCAATGAGGTCAATCTGTTTCCAATCACTACTCAGTGAAAGTGAGCAAAAAGCGGAGTTGAGAGGTTGGTAGGATGGGAACTGGGAGACCTTTTAGCTGTCCTGTTCCTCTTTATGCCTCATCACCTCCAGGAATGTTCCAAATCATCTTTGAAATATTCCACGATAATCCTTTTATGGATCTTTGGTGCTTTGAGTAGTCAGATAGAATTCTTAAATTGTGGACAAGCTATTACAAACTGTTCAATGCCTCAGGTTACATATACTAACAGCCTCCTGCCTGTTTGAGACAAGAGTATTTGGCGCCCATTTAAAAGTCTGCCCGACAATCAGATTAGCCAAGCCTTTAACATTTGAGGTGCAGTTGCAATTTCATCTTTGTGTGGAACATGAAACTCCAATG